GAGGGTAAAAAGTAACCAACCAAAAGAAAACGATCATTTAGCTAATTGTATAAATAAACTCAAAATTACTCGATCATTTGAAGTTTTTGTGTAAAATAAATATTTAGACCAGACATTTCATTCAATTTAGTGCTTATAATTTTATTTTTTTTTAAATTTAATATATCAGAGTTCGCTTAACGTTGTAGGAAAAAGCGGGAAAATATGTCAAATGCTTTTTATTTACAAACCTTTTCTTGGTTTGTTTTCTTTTCTAGATAAAAGTTAACACCCTATTTCTAATTTTGTTTGTTCAACTTATTCCACTTTTAGGTTTGATTCAGAAGAAGGCAGATCAAATTCAAACACTTCTTTTAGGGAAAGAAGAATTGAGAGAAGCTCGTCTTAAAGCCCTCAAAATCACTTCCCAAATCAACAACGGCTTCGGAAACTCTTCTCACTTTTCCGCTTCCCCTTCATTGGACTCATTCTCTCTCGGGAGAAGCTCCGATTCAACACCAATCAAAAGAGACGATCCCGTATCCGAATCCGATTGGTTGATCCGCGAGGAAGACGAGAAGAATCAATCCGCCGGTGAAGAGACACTTATCAGAGGAATTTGCTCCAAAATCGCTGGATTTAGCCCTCTCAAGAAACTTCACGGTGGTCCTACGGCGGCCGGGTTTCATACATTGTCGAATGTTGAAAGAGTTTCCAGTAAATGTTACGATCGCTGCAATGAGTGAAGGCTACTAATATACATACTCATTCCGTTCCAAAGAAAGAAAATACAAGTCCCACACATACTAAAAAAATGTTATTATATTATTATAAATGTATTATTTTTCACAATGAAACCGAACCAAGATCGGTTCGGTTTTGATATACATTTACGATCAATGTACTGAAATTTTGGTACCGGTTTGTTTAGTCAAACCTAATCACAAGACAAGAAATGTCATGTTTGCTAATCCTGTTTAAAGCTTCTTTAGCTAAACATTTTGCAGCTTCTTGAGGATCTTCAATGTGTCTGATTAAGTTAATCGCTTCTTGATTCTTCATCACCTGCATCCAGAAAAACAAAAATCAGAACCAACGATCGACTATAATTTGATTGATTGATTGATTTAATTTATCTTACCTCCCATATTCCAGAGCTACCGATAATGATAAACTCTGTATCCGAATTAATATATTCTGTAACCAAAGCAAGTTCTGAGTTTCTTGGATCTGATTCATCTTCTGTTTCTTCTTGATTACAAACTGAGATACGTGCACATGTGAAAAAACAAAGCTAGATCTCAATCTCAATACAACATCTTTATTTCCTTCTCACTCAAGCAAAGTACTCTACAAAACCTGCGTAAACCGGTCTGAACCGAGAAAAACCAGCGGTATTAATACCGGTTAGAAGAAACAAACCTGGGAAGATAAATTGTGACCAATGTTTTGTTGAGGATCTCTTGCTCTTATCTCTGATTTGATGAGCCTCACCATCTCTACAAACCACTACTCTATGGTCGCCAATACTAGCCATGGCTAACTTTTCTCCGTTCACCACCACGACCGAAGCGGCCGATCCACCGCTTCTCTCTTCCTCAACGTACGCTTTTCTTATCGTCTCTTTACACTTTCTCATAATCCTATGCTACAATTTCTCCCCTTAATTACTCAATTTGAAATATAAAAAAAAAATCGGTAATTTGGATTACGGGATTTAATTGAAATTTTTTTTTGCTAAATGATAAATATTTCATAGAAATGAATCGGTTTAGTATTACAAGCGAGATTATAGCCCTATGGAATGGTTCTATGGTAAAAAAAAAATAATTGAAACTTTGAGTTACCTCATTGGAGAGCTTATCGAAGAGATGGTTCTGCATATATTTGACAATCTCTTTCCCTGTTTCAGCATTCGACACTGCAAAGAACCAAATCTCAAGCTCTTCACTTTGCTGCTCTCTCTGTACGAAAACTGAATCAGCATTCGATGAACGGTCGATACAGCTTAACCGGTCCACGGTATAGTATCCATGAGAGACCGGAGCTAACCATGATGGTTTCTTCCTCTTTCTCCTTCCATTCCCATCTACAAGACGTCTAAACCGAAACGCCTGTTGAATTTGGTATTCTTAAAAGATTAGTCATGGTTTGAAGACATTAGAAATGTTTATATAATCGACGGATATCCAAAAGATCATATATTTTTTTCTGAAATTCAAGATATATAAAATCCATAATCTAGTCCCAAAAAAAGATACACAAACTTGAATCTAAGGAAATATAAGAGGAAGAAAGAGATGACCTTTTGCATGAAAGGGACATCCCAGAAGCCCATCTTCATTCATAGCTTCTTATTTGCTTACTATCTTATAAATTGCAATAAGCTTTTGATGAAAACAAGAAAAACTTGTTTGATTCTCACAATTAAAAAAGAAGAAAACTTTTTCAATTGCAAGATACATTTTCTTCAGTCATTTTTGTTTATTATAAAATTACAATTCAAGTGCATATTACGTTATTAACTAACGGAGGAAATAAACAATTTATTACTACTTACTAGCATGTGAGTATGTAACATGTCTAAATGGTTGGTTATACAAAGTGAGTAACGTACGCCTTATTTTCTCATTTCGTTTATATTTTTGTTTGTTTGTCTTTTAATTAACTTTGACTAAGTTTACGTTTCACCCTTGAAAGACAAACGGTCAAACGTTGAATGATTGAAAAATATAAAACATTAGATCCTTTTTTGTTGTAATGTAATATCATAGGTTTTTGAGTTTTCTAAAGGCTACCAGGCCGGTGCGTAAAGTTTTGTTGCCTAAAGCAAAATTTTTGTTTGGGAATTTTGCTAAATTGACTCATATTGAATTAACATTAGTGTTTTATAAAATAACTTTTGCTTTTTTTTTGTACCAATTTTTTTTTATATTACCTTTTGATTAATGTTAGAAAATACAAAAAAATAGTTTTTCTAATTTTATAAAATCAGAAAAATAGAAAATAGTAATGTACAAGGAATATAGATTCATGTTTCTATTTTTTTTCAAAAAAACTATGACAGAAAATTATTTATTTTTCCTTCTACCATGGTCGAATCTACTAGTAGATTAGGTGTTTTGCGAATTTGTATAATTCTACTAGTGATAAAAATAAGTATTCTACTAATTGCACAAGTTCTACATATCGCAGATTGCACATTCCACCATTTTGCTTCAGTACTACCAGTCGCAGAATGCTATTTCTACCAATGTCTTTGTCGTCTACGCTACGCAGAATGCATATTATACCCCTTCTATTTGCTTCTTTATCTATCTTCTACCAAATGGTAGAAAGTCTATTCTACCAAAGGTAGTTTAAATCCCTAAATCTAGGACCATTAGTTATTTACTTTCCAAAAAACGTAGATTTTTCTGGGAAAAACATATTTGATTTTTTTTGTCAAATGTGTTTGTATTGTTTTTTGGAGAAAAACACATTTTAAAACACATTTTCATTTTTTTGAATTTAATGATAAACTTATATGAATA